CTCGGCTATGGGTCTCTCAGAAACAAGATTTGGTACCAGCAAGACAGGTAACCAACGAAAAGTATATATATATATATAATATATAATTCCGATATAGTATAATTTTTCAAAGAATGTGCGAGCAAGTTCCTGCCATTGAACCCTAGAATTTTTCAGAAAATTGAGGAGATCCATTCCTGAAACATTGGAAAAAAGTAGGATTTACTAGTCAGGCCCACAAATTAAGCACACACTCGACTTTTAAGTGCACGAAACAGCTCGAAGGCTCAGCTTTTCTTCAAGTTGCTAAACCTCAATAAGAACGGGAACCGAGCGAGGAGAGATGTTCTAGTATGTGCAAAATTACTGTAACCACGACTGCCCAGAGAATGCTAAGCAATCATTCTAGTTGGTACCAGACATGTCTGGGAGGATAAAAGCACTGACTTGTACATCGGCTGACTCCCGCAATTCATTGTATAGACCACATACGCGTTCAATACACCACTTCTTTTCGAATGGAAGTTGAATGGAGGGCGCACACCTCAGGCGGACTTACCCCAAGACTTGATCCTTCCATCCATTGAGTTCACTTGTGTAACGAGCATTAGTGAAGATACGTAACTTTCGATTTAAATGACACCTACACTAAATTTGAACATTTGCCGGATGACGTATTCAGCCGACAGAACTTGGAGAGCCCACAAAAGTCAATTGTCAGTCTGATTGACTGCCTTAAACCTCCACTTTTGACTTTTGCGTATTATAGCATTTTTGATCGGAGCCAGAAATAAATTTCGTCAAGGACCTTGCACGTAAATGGATCAGAGAGTTCAAGATAAAAGGGAAAGGGTAAGAGGGAACACGTAAAGTTCCCAGTACCAAAATAGGAGCAGTGGTAGAACAAGCCATTGAAGTGAGCTCAGGTATTCCTAGCTTTCAGGGTACTCTCGAAAATTATCGTTATGAATAGAAAAATATTCGGTTTTCAAGCATTCCTCATGCAAAGATAGAAAAATGTAGACGTAAGAGCGCTGCGAGTTCTCGTGATGGACGAAAATAGCTGAGTGTATGAGTCTATCACTCAGATTGAACATAAGAGAAGACAAACGCTATTCCCCAAAGCCAGTCTAGTCACCTTTGAGCATGACTCAGTGATGGCATAGGTAAGGATTGTTAAAGAAGGCAATAAAGGTTGGATTAGCGGAATGCTTGATGCATACAACAAGCACTTGAGATAAGTTCTCCGATTAGTTTGGGAATTTATAACTTATCACATAGGCAGTAGTTTACTGACTGTTCTGGGAAAGAATTTCTAGAACACTCTATGTTCTTCTTCTTCAGCCTCGGCGTGAAATCTGTAATTCAACATCTATAAAGAAGGCGGCGGAGGTGGTGTAGTGGTAAGTGGCGCACTATATCACACGCACGGTCAGGGGTTCGAATCCCGGATCGATGCATGCCCAGGCCACCCAAGCCCTCCATCCCTCCGNCATACGCGTTCAATACACCACTTCTTTTCGAATGGAAGTTGAATGGGAGGGCGCACACCTCAGGCGGACTTAATTAATGCCCCAAGACTTGATCCTTCCATCCATTGAGTTCACTTGNTCTGAATGGAAGTCGAGTGCGGGGGCGCATCCCTCAGACGGGATTGATTAACGCCAAAAACTTTATCCTTTATCCTTTTAACGTTTTGGCAGGATCGCCTTACACAGAGAAAGCATCTTACTAACCCAATTAGAAGTCGTCTCCTATTAATTTGACCTAACTCAAACTATTATATGACCGGATATGTTGGGGGATAAAGTCTAAACATCGCCAGTTAGCTGAAAGCTCTCTTCCATATCCTTTGCACTGAGTCAGCATCCAGAAATCGAAAAACAATCAGGAGGATAACGGTTGTCAGCATCATTCAACGATGAGGCATTTGGATGAACCTTGATACACTGAGGTCAGTACCGTCATCGTTCAGACTAGGCTGGCTTGACTATCACTTATTTGATCTGTTTCTGGGCTTTGCCCTTATTCCTTTCGGTAGGTGCTCGAGCTTAGGGTTCGAGAGAAACGGCTGAACTCAGAACTGGCCTGAAAGGTGGTGCGCAGCCAAAAGGCGCATTACCTACCACATGTGCCGCCACTGATCGAGAACCGGATAATGCCCCCTCAAGCCAACCGAGCTTCCCTCCTTCTGAAGTCGGTTAAGTGGTGGCAGGCTCGTCTGGGAGGATAAAATCACTGGCTTCTATGTTGGCTGGCCACCACAACTCATTTTATAGACTACATACGCATTCACAAAGCCACTACGATTCTGAATGTAGTCGAATGCATGGGCGCATCCCAAAACGGCGTTAATGAATGGCAAAAATAGCTCTTTAACGCAAAATATCCCTTCTGACGGACCATTCTCTCAATGCTAACATTGATTGGTCTAACAAATTGCGGATAAAATCGTTGAGAATTTCTTGTTCCACGAAATACATGAACTCATGAATATCAATGAAAATTGGGCAATAATGCAAGGGTCGTATGAGCATAGAGGAGCATATAATGACGTGTCGAATTCCCATAATGGATTCAATGGGAACGACCTACGGTCTCGAACACGCTGGTCTTCAAAGCGGTGGGGTTGCTGGGGAAGAAGGAAGGGAAGATGAAAGAAGTGGAAGAGAATAGTGAAGAGCCTTTTAAATACCATCCCGTGACCAAAAATTAGGGCCGGAGCATTTTCATAAAACAGTGGACCAGACAAATTGATTCCGGATTCTGTTACCTGATTTTATTGCATGACTAGTGAAAAGTATGAACGGAAAAGGAAAAGTTCCTAAGGTCTCAGTCCTGTTAAAGAATGACAAGAGATGATTTGAAAAGGAAGAAAAGGAGCAAATCGTTTTTTGTGTCTTCTGACAAGCTTCAGAACCTCATAGACTGAAAAAGAAGGAATCAAAGATGAACAGGTCACTCCTTCGAAGCTCTAAATGGAGTGATGTAGAAGCAAGGGTCTTCTAATTGAATGGAAGACGTCAAATTGACAACAGCATTGTTCTTTTCAATGAGAAACGACGATAAAACGATTTCAATATTCTGTCATAGTCGACACTAATGCAGCCCGTCCACCCGCCTGAAGACGAGCGATAAAAGCTATCCTGAAACATTTCCCGTATTCTGCATTGACTTACTGGCTGACTACAACAGTATAGCAGAAAGTCTTTCAGTCTATTAGGTGGTATCACTGGGTTAGAAAACGGGAGCAGCAGAGGAGCAGGTCCACTAAGAAACGGACCGATGATTCCGATGCGAACGGCATCAAATATTCAGTGACGATGAGCTGCCGAATCGTAACGAGCCAACTGAATACGTTCTTCTCCCAAATACTACTAAGATGGGTTTTCTGAGGAATAGCTAAGCAGTGGATTCTAGAGCAAGACAGCATTTAAGCTTAGCAACCACGAGAGGTAATGGATTAGAACCTTAAAAGTGGGATATCCATAAACGACCTGTGTTCAGAAGGCATAAGTGGGTTCAAATTAAGTCTGATGGTGACCGTTCCCTTTGAAGCTGGGCACCCCTAAGGCAGCACCAGCTAGTTTATAGTCCTATGAATCACTTGAGTGCTGCTGACTTCATGGCAGAATTCAATCGAACGTCAAAGCGACTGGACGTTGTACAACAATTCGTGCAGCATTCCTCTCCACAACTTTGTACCATCCGCTTAGAGAATTTTTATCTTGTTTTCTTCAAATTACCAGAGATATGAAATAGCGTGGAGCTCAGAAAGACATGCTACTCCCACGGTAATTTCTTCCAAGAATTCAGAGTAGGTGCCTGTAGCAGAAATTGTAGGATTAATAGACGCACGATGGGAAGGATATTGCTTCGCAGCGTTGATCATCTCTCGTCTAGGAAAACTGTAGTTGGTCTAGGCATTCGGTTCGATCGTCGGACCACCCACATCTTGGTTAGTCCGCCTCTTGGCACTACACTATCTCACCCCTCCGGAATCCGAGTCCGTAGTGCAACGACGCAACTGCTTTGGAAAAAACGTCCTTTTTTGATTCATTTTCCAAACTGTGTTGGTTGATAATGCCTGATTGTAAGGCTCTAACTGAACCAGAAAATTTCTTTCTTCTCTGACATGGGAGGATTATTCGAGACTTTCTTAAGAGCGAGACAAAAGACAACAGGATGTTGAGTAGATTTTATCAAATATTTTGTTCTGAGTTCAGCATATTGTTAGTAAACATATTCATATTCAAAATATTCATAGAACTATGCAACTCCATAGGCTTCAGCAGCGTACGAGACCCTTTCTTTGAGCTGAGTTTGAAGCAGATTCTGTTCGAGCACACCGATTTGCACATTCATCCGTTGAATCTCTTCCTCGATTTTCAGAATCGCTTGCTTCACTTTCATCATTGGGGCTGAAAACTGATCATATAAAAAGAACTAAAGCAAGCATCGTTTCGAGGTAACCTCAGAGGTTCACTGGTGACACAACAATGAAAAATGTGGGTCTAGGAGTTTCGCTATAGTATCAAAAGAGATGCAAAAGAGAGGTATAGCGTGCTTTTCTTATGAAGCATCTTGCTGTGCCTTCCCAAGTACTGGCAAAAGCCTTGCTTTGGATTACCAGTACCTTTCTTGAACGGTCACATATCCATTTCGAGCCAATTTTCATCAGTTGTAAGTCTCTTGGCAAGATCCCAGAAAACTATGGCTGCTTACCTCCGTCACTCGTTTTTGCTCCTTGCTCTTCGATTTGCATTTTGATTTGGTCAATATCTTCAGAGATCCTTTGCAATGTGGCAGTTCGCTCTGTAACTCCACCTGATGCAGATCTAAAAGGACATTGAACGGGGCAGGATCGACAGAATTCTCGGAAAAATGTCTCACAATGAAAATATAAACAGCTAATTTACTTGTATCTTTCCCGGACTTCCGCTCTAGCGTCTTGCGATTCTTTATAACGCCCCATCCATACGCCTAACTGCTGATTCAATGTTCGTTCTCGTGTTTCAATACGTTCCAGTGATTTCTCTACCTCATCCGCAATCTGAAATTCACTTAGGCCCACAGGCGTATTATTCAGGAAGGATAGCTATTCAAGCTCTCCCAAATCTTTCCAACAGACTTACCTCTTCTAGCTTTGGGTTGAGCTCGTCAACGAGTTCAGACATTGCTTTGTGAAGTGTGCCCATCTGTTCTAGGTGCATTCGCCAGTCCTAAAATACAGGGAAGTTCTAGCGAAACAGATTTCTTGAATGTCGAACGAGCTTATTGTCTCATTCACATCAGAAGAATATCGTCTCTGCTCTCAGTCAAGGTCTCTCTGGAATGCGTCCACCTATTTGATTCCCATTCAAGATTGAGGGCGTGTTGGATGAGTGCTTCGACCATACAATGGCTTACTTGGGGACAGTAGTTGAACAACCACTGTTCTAACCCTCTCAGACATAACTGGTATAGTCGACTCGGGATAGGTAAGACGCTTGCCTGACGTAGGCGGGTATCGGCCTTAGATATAGTTCACAATCATGGGCAATTGGACTAAGCTCAGACCATACCGCTACCTCTTTCTGAAATCTTCTATAAGCCTGTAAAAACCTTCAAAGGCCTCTCATAGAGCGCCTCACATGTAACTAGAAACGTCCTATATGACACTTCCAGCAGCATAAATAGGCCAATTCCATTGCTCTATATGTTGACTTTGAAGCTGCCTTTAGAAGGTCTAGGAGTCTTAGTCAGTCTGCTCACAACTAGAGAGGAATTGGTACCTTTGCATCTTGTCTGATAGTAATCTTCAATAGCGGAGTAACTCTCTCAACCTCTTCGTACCATGAAGTTGCATCAGTATTGCTGTGAAGAACAGCTTGCATAGGATTTTCCTGGAGAATAATAGGATATGGAATGAATTTGCCAAAGCAGTCAGTGCTTTTCTAACCTGGTTTTCATTATTGAGGGGAGCGGAGAGATCAACGAAAACACCTTCGTCTTCATCGATGTAGTCTTCCTCCTCTGCCTGGAAATAGCAACACAGTAGAATCGAGTGTTCCATCAACAATGGGACTTCATGAAACTTCGTGGCATATCGTGGCACGTTTTAGGTGTCAAAGGTCATTATTGAGTGGTAGCAAAACCTACTTCAGATACTTCATCATCGTCCTCATCCTCCTGATCCACAGCCACATCCTCGTCTTCCCTTTCAGGTGGGATCATTCTGAAGAAATATAGGTCACCTTCACAGTAACATACTTATTTGCCGAAACTCACTTTTGCCATCGAAAATCAATATGAATCAAAGCCGCATCCGCCAGAGCATCCAGGACGTAAAGAACAGCATCACCAGCACCAGATTTCAACTTGTTGGCAGGGAAGTCCACCGGAACATCCTAGATTTGGTCGGAATCATGAGAAACGTCCTTCTTTTAGCTTTTCCTCTTATTGGTGGAATAGGTATTCCTGCTCTGATTGATATAATTTCTCTAATTATCCTCTCTTTAATTTTTCAAATTTCTTCTACCTTTAAATTCCAATTTTAGCAAAATTTATTGGTAAATAGAAGAATAAGAGAAAAAGAAGTGACGTGATGGAATTCTGCTCCAACTACTCCACCTCGGAAAGGAGAAAGAAATGTTCCCAACCATGGAAAACGAACATACTCCTTCATCGCTTTGCCTTGATGTTTCCTGCAGATTGGGAAACTAAGGGGGTCATTTTAGCCATTGAATAGAAACTAAGCACAAATCTGAACTTAAGAAAGGAAAATTCGCTGCCCTTTTGGAAATTTCTCACAAGCATGCCGTAACTATGGAACGCTTCCTTTGAATGCTCCTGATATCATATATTCACTGACAAACTTATTTTTGTCCATTTATAGAATAGTCTTTCCTACCAGACCCATGAAGGCCCATGAGATTTAATTTGACAACAAAGACAGAGTATTATAGCGCAAAAAAAAGAATTTTTCATTTTTCTCGCATAATCTTGAAAAGTTTCCTCGATACCGGTTTGGGCTTCCAGTGGCAACAGCGCTCCTCCCGACTTTTTCGGGGATCTAATCCGCGATGGTATCTGAGCTTGTTCATACGATCTCAAGTAGGGATAGTCCATGTATAGATTAGCAAACTACCATTTTCAGTTCTTTCCGTCCAGATCGACACTATATCGCTGAATTAATGACCCCCCATTAAAGCACGCTTACCATTCATATACTGTTGCTTATCCACTTTTTGGTTATTCTTCCAAATCCCTTTTCATGTCTTTTCTGACTGGCGTATCCTCACCATTAGTAGATTTTTCAGGAAGATTAAAGTCGCTTATCACCCTTTTATTCAATAAAAATAAATTTTCCGCATTTTTATTCAATAAAAATATGATAGCTTTTCCCAAACACTCCTACAGTTTATCAGCTACCACTGTTGCTTTTCTCTTGGATTTCCAGTGAGCCGCTTCTTGCTGGCGGAAAGTCGCTGACTGGCGCTTGCTTATTGAATTGTGAATTATAACTGACGCTCTTATTCATTCAAAAATCATGCATTTTTTCTCAGCATAAACATCAAAATGGATATTTTGACTTGTGCCATTAATAGAGGTCGGGCATGTTCTGAAGCTCCATAGGGCTCTTCATCCCGCTCAGATTAACTGAGACTTCCATTCATTCGTTGTACTGTTAGATGGTGCCAGCTTGCGCAAGAAAAAAAGAGCACAGAAGGGAATAGTAGGTGGCTTATGCTAGCCGTTAAGAAAGCCGAATACTTGTGAAAGCCTACTGTAAAAGCTAAATGAATGAAAGTCTACCAGCGGGCTCAAAGAGCGCGATCATCATCTTCTGTTCACAAACCTGGCGATTTATGGGCAAATTTTTGACCTCTAACGGAACTCAAACCCGTATTTGTGCGGGCTCATCATTCAAAACCATCATCAGCTTTATCCATCTTGTAAGCATTACCTTCTACCATACCCTAGAGATGAGAAAGGCATATTGACCTATCTAAGAACGTTTCACAGCAACGCACTTCAGCTCAGAGGTGTGGTGTAGAATCGTTTCATCACCTGTTCGGCCTATACTTCTTATGGATCGCTGTGGTCAGTGGATGTTAAGTTGAAACCTTGCTCAAGCCTGATGCCAATGAATAGACTCACAGCTAGGATAGCTCATGAGGTCTCACCATCACCATACCCACCACAATGTCAACCGCCCTTGGGTGATTCTGTATCTAGCGTTCTAAAAAATTGTTTTAAACAGCCATTTTCAGAGCGGTCATTTTTGGGCTTCAAACAAAGCAATGTTGCTGAACAGTCATCGGCAAACGTTCATATGCGTGCGAGAACTGAACAGCATGTCGGCATACACTTTACTCACAGGCAAGCCGTGTTTCTCGTATTCGAGACATTACCAAAAAGTCATTGATAAGCTGGTAAACTTAGATTGTCAACAGAAAGTAATAAGCAGTAATTAGAAGGTAGTAATCACTAAAACCTAATCAGTTAAGGCCTTCAAAAAAAAGCTCAATGAAAAGCATTCACAAGTTGGAGAAACTCATTCTCTTTTCTTCCATCTATTTAGACTTTCCAGCTCCTCGCTACCGTCGCTTATGCTGTATAACGTGCACGAGTTCTCTACTGTTTACATTTTTCGCCGCCGTCGTGGCTGTCACTTACTTCGACCAGCAACACAACAATATCATACACGAGTATGTGGCCAGAAATGACGACGTCGCTATTCTCTCTGCCACCTTTTATAATCGTTCAAAGAGGTCGGCCGAGATTTTTTTTAGCTAACATGTTTGAACGATGAATTCTTTCGAAGATAATCGATTCCTTTCGGGAAGCGCCGGGCTTCTGATTGCCATTTAACATCCCGGTGGCGTTTGAATGCGTATGTATCCCATGCAGTGACTTGCAGTGGCCAGAAGAAGTACAGTCAGTGCTTTGATACCCCGATACGAATCTATCAGTCAATTCGTATGGAACGCTGACAGTTAGGTGACATCGATCCGGGATTTGATTCCAGGACCACGCGTGTGCTCGTGCGCCACCTGCCACTACATCACCTCAACCTTGAGCCTTTTCTGTTAAGGCCAACGTTCAATGCATGACTGTTGAACGGTGGGGAACAATCAAAACAGTTTTGGTGTCTATGGATGGTTTTCAACAAGCAATGTGTTTCACAGTTGCCCGAACTCAAAGAGGGAGGTGCTTTTTGAGGTGTCAGTGTCAGATACTGCCAGCCGTTGGAGTATGGGTGCGTATTACCGGAGCGTAAAGCCATTCTGTCACCCCCTCACGGGATGACTGCCTTCGAGAAGAAGACGATTCAAAAAGAAGAAGTTGGGGAGCATTTGAACACGGATTTATACTCGAAAACAAGGTTTTTTTCAGTTTCGAGAATAACACCGTAATACTACTGCTGAACGCTCATCAAGTACTACAACTCAAACACTCCGAACTACTGGGCGTATCAACAAACGCCTCTGGCTCGATGAAAACATCCTTCAGGTAGGTCTCAGCTTCCGTTACGTCAGCGCCATCGCAACAATGGCTACAGACCAGTCTCGCCATCGTTTTCGGCTAATCTCGACGGCGTATCGACCGTTTACCGCTGCATAGCGCTTATATCCACCATCAACACTTAGCCGAGCTATAATTAATGGTTTTTTCTAAGAACCTTTAAAAATTGGTTGCAGAATCTATCCAGTGGTGCAGCAGATTCCATTCTACTGTAAATGGGTGCCGTTCATAGCTGTCGGTCAGGTCAGCGAAGGAATGACATCTCTGACGTTGTC